CTGATAACTGATAATGATTAATAAATGATTAGTGATAACAAAGAGATAGTTTGAGTTGAAATTGCAAAATTCTGTATTTAAAATTGGTAGATAAACAAATAAATGGGATGACTGAATAATATACGATAGATAATAAAAAACTGATATTGCATTCGAATTTTTATGGAAGAAGAAAGAAATAATAATATATCTTCTAATTTTGTTATTTTTTATTCTTTAACAATTTAGTTCAAAATGAATGTCATAGTATTTCCTACTGTAAATGTATTGTTTGTTATTTAAAAAACTAACATTTACCATGAATTTTAATAAATTCAAGGAACAAAGATTAAAATAATAAAACAAAGCGGATAAAAAAGTTATTTGTAGTTCCCGATAGCTGATATAATCGACTATGCGACAGCAATTAAAGTAGCAATGTATAAACGACATCTGTTAACCAATCAATTTCACCGAATTATTCTGGATGACAAAAAATTTGAAGAAGAAGCCAAATTGTTGACGAAGGATTTTGTTAGTTGGACAAAAAAAGAACATAAAGATGTATGTATGAATTGGCTGAAAACTGATATTTTTAAACTTCCTTCAAATTTAATTACACTAATTTTTCTCCGTTCCAATTTTTGAATAAATTTGTCCATTTGTATGCAAGCATGTTTGTTTGAGTTTTTTGATTCCAACTGTGGTATGTTTTGGATAGAATGAATTTAAATTGAATCAGATTTTGAATGGATTTTTTTTAAAAAACAAAATTTATGTGAGAAATAGGAAAGGAGTTTAAAAAAAGACGAAAATATTTTAGCAAAATTAATGAGCTTATGATTAAATTAAACGATTGAATTATTTTTTTAAGGCACGTTTTCAGATAAGAATGCGTAATTACACGTCGCAAATAACTTCTAGAGAGAACATGGATTAGTTGTTTAAGCCATCTACTAGGATTAGCTGTTCAAGCCATTTATCATTTACGCGTATATTATGTATTACTTGTGATGATTTGGGAAAAAAAAGTCTTTTGCAATTTTCTTAAATGCACTGAATTTCATTTTTAATTTCATTATCGATTGTTTAATAATTACTTGGTTATTTACGATTTGCAACTACTGTTATTAATGCATTTTGCCAAATTTAATCAAATTTTAAAACAAAGATACAGGATACAGGACATCTTTTCAGGATACAGGACATCTTTTCAGGATACAAGACATCTTTTCAGGATACAGGACATCTTTTCAGGATACAGGACATCTTTTCAGGATATAGGACATCTTTTCTTTTATTTTCAGTTATTAACGAAAATGGCTCAGTTAGAAGAGTCATTAAATAAACTTCAACAATTTCCGTTTGTTTACGGTGATGAATTTAATATGTATTATCCGTTGATGGATGATTTGGGTCTACTGAAACGCCTTATTTCACGATTTATGGACAAATATGAGGTATAATCAAAATTCGTTGTTTTAAGGAAATCTTCTTGATAGGTAATATTTTTTTCTAGTTATAATTTCAAAAAAAA